CCTGCTGACATGAGGAAATCTTAATTCCACCGCGCTGGAAGGTGTGGGCACTGGTGCTCAAGAAAAGGTGAATTAGATGAAGCAGGGGTAGGAGGGAGAGCTGCTAAGGTGATCAGGGGAACAACCAGGGCGTTCAGCAGTCTGAAAATCAGGAGGTTCGTAACCTCTGAGGTGGTGGAAGAGCCTTCAAAGTGAAGCTCTGAGGAAAGGCATAACAAGGTTAGGGCAGAAACGTGGTTTACAGTTGATGAAGGTTTTTTTCTGACGTGGTTGCCTGGCACAGTCAGGTTTCCTTGGAATACTGTGTCTGGCCGGTGCAATGGGCCGTGCGTGGGGCTTGGCCGCAGCTCACAGTAATTGTCCCTTTACCAGAGGTAAACCCAGACCCTGGAGGAATCCCATTTGGGGGGGGATTTAGGTCTGTGCCTTTAGGAAAACAGTATAATTGTGTAGCAAACTAGATACAACCAAAGTATTTTTATGAAAGGGGATAAAATGTTAAGAGGAAATACTCCAGGGCAGATCTCTCAGAGCTGCAGGGCTGTGATTTAGCCATTCCCCCAGTTACTTAGGTGATACTCCCTTGTGTAGAAGGTGTGGTTGAGTGTGTTTGTCCGCAGTTCGCTGGAAGCTTTCTGCCTCAGCGCAGAAACAACTTTTCCATTTTTGTAAATGGAAGGAAGAGCAATATGTGAAAATAAAGGATATTAATGGAGTACCTTCTCTCATAACAGATTATCATGAAACTCATCCTTAAAGAATGTTCCAATCAAAAAGAAAATTAGAAAGCCCCCCAGCGTTCGCGGTGATCAAGTACAGGGACCAACATGTCGTTCAGTCAAACGAGACCTCAGACATCACAGGTGAGAGTGTTTGTGCTTTTCCATAAAGATTTTTTAGATTTTCTAAATAAAAAATACTAAAATAAGTGACACTGCACCATTTCTAGGAGACCTGAAAGTAAAAAAAATGTGCTTTTAACATACTACGTATAGGAAGCATTCTTGTCTAGTTTGTATGTAGTAACTCAACAATTGCAGAAGTATTAAATATAGCTTATTTGCATGGCTTCTAGTTATAGGGAAGTGTATCGTCCTTGTCAATACTCACTAAAAATATCAAGACCTAGACATTACCAGTCCCACAGCTACCACAGGTATGAAGACAATCTAACTGAACCTTCCTCAGAGCAGGCTTAGTTATTCTTTTTGCAGATATCATGAGGAGCATTTCTGTGCTTCCAAGGTAGCTTGTATTATTAACAACTGTCAGAAATATTTTCATTTTTCTTGCTGGTGAGGTCAAGTTGTGGTGCTGTTTGGATCGAGCTTTCAGGGCTTTGCATTTTTTATGAGATGAATAAAGGCAGGATTTCAGCTGAAGTATTCTTGTAACCGTGACACGCTCCAGAGTATCAGCCGGTTTTGGTAAGCTCTGTCCTCTGCTGTCAGAGTGACGTACGGCAGTAGCACAGGCTCTCTTTTCTCTGCTTTCCATTGTTGAGCTTGTTCTAATGTGACTTATTTTTATGCCGTCAGCTGGCAGTCGATCACAAATTACTCGTCACTAATGTCACTATTGTCAGATAGAGCCTCACTCTTCCAGTCCATGTGCAAACATCAAAGAAACCATTCCTGCCTCCAGACATTGAAAGTCCACCTAAGCAAAAGTGTATAGGAAGAGGGTTATAATATATCTACAGTTACAATCATCTGTTCTTTATTTAGCTGGTGGAGCTCCATGTTTTTTATGTCCCAGAAGAAGTGTGGAACTTCAAGCTGAATACAGTTCCTGTAGCTCTTAGTAGCAAATTCATCTCGGCCGGATTTATAAGGTGAGGATAGTCTGAGGCTTCATGTACATGGCAGGTCCTTTACATTGTCCTTCAGTCACGTAGTCCAGCCGTTGCTCTGTAGAGCAGATTTACATCTATCAGACACAACTTGTTCTCTAATGAATTTCTGGAGGGTAAGTGGTACCTGTGACTGGCGTTATGGTTATTTGGACTGTATCAGCCTTAGCTC